GCACTGGGGGCGTAGCTTAAGGCAGAGCAAGCACACCTAGTACCAGTGAGGTCTTGGGGTCAGAACTAGAGGAAAAAACAATCCTGCCAAGTGTGTGACTCTTAGCACGTGGGAGGGGCAGAGTCTGGCAGATCTCTGAGTTTGAGGCTAGTTTGATCCATGTATTGAGCTCCTGGCCTGCCAGAGATATACTGTGAAACCCTGTTTCAAAACAAAACAAAACAAAACCTCCTCACAAAACCAAACCTAAAAAACCCTGAGGTGGAGAGGATCCTACCAGGTGAAGCTAGCACCAAGGTTTAGTCAGAGCAAAATGAAGAAAGGAGACACATTTAACATTCAGGCCACAGCAGCAGTAGTGGGCCTCGCTCAGGGACTCTCAAGTGTTTGCTAACTGCACAGCGTGTTAGGGGTGGGGCCAGAGTGGAAGGATACGCGGAACAAACCTGGCCCTGGCCTCCAGGAGCTGAGTCTGCAGTGAGAGCAGGGAAACACGATCACAGCCAGTGTGACGTGAGCTCTGGGACAGAGAGAGGCACGGGCGGAAAGACGAGGAGGGCAGGGTCTCGATTGGCCCGGAGATGAGAGGCACCTGAAGAAGCACCCATTGAGCTAAATATGTAGAGGATGAGATGACATTTGCCACGGGAGAAAGAACATCGTAAAAGCTAGTAATGGCCAAAGCCAAGAGGAGATATTGCAGCGAGGAAGCACAGGCGGGGGAAGGAGACAGGGCAGATCTGTTGTAAGAAGTCTCATATTAAAGCAATGGTCCCATAACCTAACTCCTGATCTGCCGCTAGAGTCGTTTTGGAGCCTGTCCTGGAACTCACTCTGTAGACCAGGCTGGCCTAGAACTCACAGGGATCCACCCATCTCTGCCTCCCACGTGCTGGGATTAAAGGCATGCGCCACCACAGCCGGGCCCCATTTTTTCATTTAGAAAAACTTCAAACACAGATAAATTGAAATAACTTATGCACTCCATGCAGATCAAAAAATTAATTTGATCTTGTAAAATGTTTTCTTTTTAACTTTTATGAAAACTGTATAGAAATAATAAAACCTTAATATTTCAGCATATACTGGACATGGTAGCAAACATTTTTTTTTNTTATTATGTATACAGTGTTCTGTCTGTATGCTTGTTGGCCAGAAGAGGGCAACAGATCTCATTACAGATGGTTGTGAGCCACCATGTGGTTGCTGGGAATTGAACTCAGGACCTCTGGAAGAGCAGTCAACGCTCTTAACTTCTGAGCCATCTCTCCAGCCCGGTAGCAAACATTTTTAATCCCAACACTCAGGAGGCAGATGTAGGCAGATCTCTGAGTTTGAGACCAGTCTGGTCTACACTGAGAGTTCCAGGCCAGCAGGAGCAACGCAATGAGACCTTGTCTCAAATAAATGAATACTTTGACATATATCTCTAGAGAACAAAGGTCCATAGGCTATTATCACACCTAAGGAACATAACATCTATGCCCACTCTCTTAAATGTTTCCATTCTCTTCCAAACGGCTTTTATTACTTTTCTTGGGAGGGGTCTTGGGGAAGGAAGGGGGTGATTAGGATCCTAATGTGTGTATGTGTGAGTGTGTGCATGCGCGCGCGTGTGTGTGCATGCATATACAGAAGGGTGAGACAGGGTCTCATTACATAGTCCAGTCTGGTCTCTGAGTCTCAATCCTCTTACCTCACTTTCCCAAGTTCTGATGGTAACCAGGTTTTTAAAGAATTATTTTTAATTATGTGTACATGTATGGGGGGATGGGCACGAGAGTGCAGCTTCCCAGAAGGGTCAGATCCCCCTGAAGCTAGAGTTAGAGGTGCTTATGAACTCTTGATGTGGGTGCTAGGATCTGAACTCAGGTCCTCTGCAATAGTACAAGTTCTCAACCACTGAGGCGTCTCTCCAGTCACCACAGCCTGGCTAGTGTGCTTTTTTAATAATGGGAAAAATGTCCTCTTAGAATTTTTTTATCTGTCCCCTTCAATGATGGAGTCAAGTTCACATTCTTTATAGGAATCCAGACAAGTGTTGCTGCTGGTTAAGGGTAATGGGAATGGAGACGGTGGAGCCTAGACATTTGGAAGCAGAAATAACAGATCTGACAACCAATTAGAAGGCAGGGAGGGAGGTAGCATAGGATTGGAGAAGGCCTGATTTCTGGCCTGGAAAATGGGAGATGTTCCGTTACTGGGAAGATAGTTTTTCTTTTCTTTTCTTTTTTTATTTCAAGACAGGGTTTCTCTGTAGCTTTGGAGCCTGTCCTGGAACTTACTCTGTAGACCAGTCTGGCCTCGAACTCATAGAGATCTATCTGCCTCGACCTCCCGAGAGCTGGGATTAAAGGCATGCGCCACCACCGCCCAGTGAGAGTAGTTTTGTGGGAGGGACAAGAATGAAACCCTGGGTGGTATAAACCTTTCCCAGTGCCTTCAGGCATCAGTGCGATTGTTGGTGGACAGCTGAGAACGCTGGGCCCAATACAAACCATAGCTAAATAAGATGAACTGGAGAAAACACAAGTCCAGAACCCACAGACCTGACTCCTTCCTGAAACTCACTCTGCAAGGTCACCCCAATATTTCTGTAGGCAAATCTGTGTTGGTTTTTTTTTAACGTCATCTTAACCTTTTAGCCATATCAGGCACAGCTGAGCAGTCCAATAAATAATCCCCCGACCGACAGCTGTCACATAATGCCGGCGCTGGCTGCTCTTTCCCTGTCACCTTTGCTGGCTCAATCTCCACGACCCAATCAGCCCGCAAATGTTGGCACATACTAGGGCTTGCTTCTCGGCTTCTGCACTAGCCAGAGTCTTTTTAAAAAACAATGCTATCCATCACTGGCTTAAAAACAAAACACTAAAAACAAAAACTCAGTAAAAACACGCATGGTATGATGGAACCCAGGTATCTATCCACATTCCTATATGCCGACAGTTTCTCACCAGCTGCCTGAGCCCAGAGATCTGGTTTTCCCATTTGAATAGCCCAACACCTCAAGCTTTATAAGGTTCTACACTGCCCTGGATCCTCCCTCCTTCCTCTTCTCTGGATGGCTCCCAGAAAGGACTGGCAGAAAGGGAGGGGGGAGGATGAGAGTGTCAAGGAACCACAGGGCATTTGGCTCAAGCAGGAAGTAGGGGTACCTGGTAGGTCCAAATCTCTAAGTTACCAGCTTCACAACTCTACATTAGGTCTTGCGTAAACACCTTGAGTTTCAGCTGCCTGAAACCTGTTTTCCAAGGGACAACCACACAAACTTTAGGGGCTCAGATGGCTTGCTCAGTAGCCACAGATGTGAGAGTTGCTTGTTCATCCAACTTGCAAATACATTACACGTGATTTAAGTAATTTGCATCTACAAGTTGCATCTGCCTCGATACAGTGGCGGCGCATGCCTTTAATATCAGCACTTGGGGGCAGAGAAAGGTGGATCTCTGTGAGTTTGAGGCCAGCCTGGTCTACAGAGCAAGCTTTAGGACAGCCAGGGCTACACAGTGAAACCCTCTCAAAGAAAAAAAAATTGCATCTGTCCTAGAAAAGGCAATAGGCCTGACACCACACCCAGAGTTCACACTTTCCCAAGTCTCTGAGAGGCTCCATCTTCTGAAATGCACGCCCCGTACTTAAGATTGCTACTAAAGCGAACAAGCCACATTATATAACGTTTCACACAGGGCTGGAGAGATGGTTCAGTGGTTAAGACCAGTTGCTCCTTTCCCAGAGGACCAGAGTTCCACACCCAGCACCCATGTAGTGGCTCACAACCACCTGCGTAACTTTAGTTCCAAAGGATGGGAAGCTTTCTTCTCGCCCCTGTAGGCACCAGGTATGTGCATTGTGCGCATACACATATGCAAGTAAAAATACACACACACAAATCTTAAAAAAGAAGAAGCTGTGGTTCCAGGGCTGGTAAGACGGCTTAGAGGGTAAAGGCACTGGTTGCTAACTAAGTCTGATGAACTAAGTTCAATTTCCCAGACCCACATGGTGGAAGAAAACCAATTACACACTCGTGCAAACAAAGGTGCACTAAATAAATCTAATTTTTAAAAGGCAACATTTTAAGTAGCTAAGGGTGGGCTTGGTAGTGTACATCTGTAATCCGGTACCGGTTTGTAGAAAGTTCAGGCCAGCCAGGGATACATGTATCAAGACTTTGTCTCAAAAAATAACTAGGGGCTGGGAGAGATGGCTCGGCGGATATGAGCACTTACTGCACTTGTAGAGGACACAGACTGAATTCCCAGCCCCCACATGGCGGCTCACAACCCTCGATAACTCCAGTTCCGGGGAATCCAAACCTTCTGGCACCGGGCACATAAGTGGTGCACATACGCGCAGGCAAACACTTATACTCACAAAATAAAAACAAACCCTAAAAGCCGCTTAAAAAGAAAATAACGATACAAAGGAAAAAAGGGACAAGGAATCTGCCGGTAAATTAGGACGGCTTTTGGTTATTTTGCCAAAATGTCAAAGTGACAGATTCGGACAACTGAACACAGAATCCACTGAGGTTAGGGAAAGGGAAAAAAAAAAGTTTGAACGTGAACTCCGCCATCTACCACCGCTGGCCGCTGTCGATTACTTTTCCGACCGCTCCGCTCTCAAATTTAAGTCAAAAGAGGACTTTTCCGAGTCGGGACCCCGGGGCATCTTCCCCGGGAGGGTGGCTGGGGACCTGCCATCCTGTCACTTCTTCCCAACCTGGAGCGAAGCGCCGCGACCGCGGAGCGCTGGGCGCGGAGGCTGCGGGCAGCCGTGGCCCGCGAGGCCGGCGCCGGGGTGGTGGCTCCGGCAAGGGCGGCGGCAGGACCGTGACCTTGAGCCCCGCAGGCCCCGGATAGGCGCTCCGGCCACGCCGGCCCTCGGCCGTCCCCCACCCTCCCGCGGCGTCCGCCACCCGCCCCGGGGGACCCGGCGCCCTTCGCCCCACGGCGGCCCCTCCCCGGCCGGGCCCCGGAAAGGGCGGCGCTGCTCACCGGAGCCCGGGCAGGAAGCTGCCAGGGGCGGCTGGCCGCAGGAGGCCTCCTCGCGCGAGCAGCACCCGTGCCGCCATCTTTGCTCCGGAGCCTGAAGCTCCCAGCGCCCGGGTGCCGCTGACGGCGCTGCTGCCGCGACCCCTCCCCCGGCCGGGCCGAGCAGGCTAGGGCGGGGCAGGGCGCTAGGCCTCTGTAGTGTGGGGGCGCGGCCGCCAGGGGGAGCAGCGTCCTGCTGCGGCGGCGCGCGGTGCTGCCGCCAGGGGGCGCGCCAGCCAGAGGCTGAAGACAACCCTAGGGGAGCTCAGTGTCCAGAAAAGGGAAGTGAGAAAGGAACCTGGTCAGAGTTGGCTGGGGTGGACACGAGAGAGCCCCAAGAAAGGAGTAGGTTTGTGGAGAGGAGAATCCAGAGACTATGGGAGGGACCCACTCTTTACAAACTACTTTTGAAGTTTTTACCGGGTAAATGTCATTTCCCCCAAATAACACTTTTTTTTATCACACACACACACACACACACTTTGTGCGTATTTGAGACAGAGTTTCCCACAGTAGCCCAGACTATCCTCAAACCCATGGCAATCCCTCCTCTCAGCCTCCATGCTGACATTACAGCTCTCATACCGGACTATTATTTTGTGGTTTGTTTTGTTTTGTTTTTCGAGACAGGATTTCTTTGTAGCTTGGAGCCTGTCCTGGAACCTACTCTGCAGACCAGGCTGTCCTCAAACTCAGAGATCTGTCTGTTTTAGCCTCCCAAGTGCTGGGATTAAAGGCGTGAGCCACCACCGCCCTGCTCGAAATAACACTTTTTAAAATGCGCTCTGGGTGGACAGATACCTGAACTCTTACAGTAAGCATCCATTGGGTGTGGACCATGGGGAGTCCCTGTTTAGGGACGCGATTAGATCAGTGTGTCAAGAGTTAAAAATGGAGCATTTCGCAGGATGGAGTGAGCATGGAAGGAGATCATGAAATAAAGGAGAAGAGGTGTGGGGTGGACCTGGTTCTCTACTACCGTAATCTTTTTTTTTCTTTTATCCTTTTTAAGCTGAAGGTCAGAAAAGCAAAGCAGTCAAGTCATTAGAGAGTTCTTACCTCTACAAAGGCTCAGATGAAGGGCTGAGCCTGTCCTCAGCAGGCTATAGATTACAATGAGCTCCTGTCTCCTCCTGCCTTATATTCCTCGCTCTGGATCGCCTTTGTGTGAACTCTGTTTCTCTTTTTGGACAGATTCAAGGGTAGCCTTGAGTCCTGGGATTAAAGGCGTGTGCCACCATTCCCTGCCCTCTAGTGGCTTAGCTCTGAACTCTGATCTTCAGGCAAGCTTTATTTATTAAAACACAAGTATATCACTATATATACAATATTCTTATATGAATATATGGGTATTAGAAACTGAACATGGTTCTTAACTATCTGTAACGACAAGTCAAAGGGATTAGAGTCTCTCTTCTGGGCCCATGGGTACCTACACACACATAGTAAGGCTCATCCATACACATAACAGCTGATAGGACCCACAGGTGGGTATATTCACTATAGAATTTCAGCTTGTTGTATGTTTCAAAGTATTTGTATAAAATATTAAGGAAATGAATGGTGTGTTAAGGAAGACTGTCAACCATCCTACAAAAATTGAATTCTACCCCTCCAAAGGAAAACACACAGTATTCAGGCATTTGTACTATAATACACTACCATACATTTTAGTATTTAAGTTAATTAGCCTTAATTATTTCTAATACTAAATAAGATGATTTAATTATAAACTATTATTTATTTGGGATGCCCCAAGTGAACATTATATCACTAGTCAAGTAGTAAGAGACTGCTTAATAAGTTGTATGCTCAACTATAGCACGGTAATGTACAGTCCACGGCGGTCCCGCAGTCCCTGGAGTTCGTAGCGTTCCAGGAGCCACTGCCCCGACCGTGGCATGTAGCTGGCAAACCCTTGCTGTGAAGTCGCGAAGATGCAGAGGGCAAAAGAGGATGGCCACCTCCGGTGTGGTGAAGAGTAGCAAGAAGAAGACCCAGAAGAGACCTGCCGATCCTGCAGAAAGCCAAGCTGCTCGCCGGGTTCATAGACGTCATGAGCAACACGAGAAAGCATTGGTCGCGGAAAGAAGATGCCTGCTCATCGTGTCGTCCTTGCTGCAGCCAGTCCCCCTTTTAAACTTAATGTCCACAACGAACACGCTGGGATCTAAGTCCTTTGAAGTAGAACCCAAAGACGATGAACCCGATTCTGAACAACTGGTGGAATTTGCTTATGCGGCTAGCATTTCCGGGAATAGCAACAATGTCCCATCTTTGTTAGAGGCAGCAAAGCGGTACCAGATTGAACCTGTGAAGAAAATGTGTGCTGGGTTTTCGAAGGAACAAATCGATGCTTCAGATTGTTTGGTATAAGTGTGCGTGCAGAGTGTCTGGGTTGTCCCGAACTGAAAGTAGCAGCAGGTGACTTTATTAACCAGCATTTTCCCGAAATTTAAAAAACCGATGAATTTCTACAACTTGATGTCAAGCGAGTAACAGCTTCTCAGCCTGGACACGGACTGCGAGAGCGGAGAACCAGGCTTAGGATGCAACAGTGAGGTGGTTGATGATGTGCCTAATCGCCAGCCATTTATGGTTGATAAATGTCAGACTTCTGCTTATATCGAAGAATTTCCTATGTAAAACAGTACAAGCTGAACTGCTCTCTTTCTTTCTTTCTTTCTTTCTTTCTTTCTTTCTTTCTTTCTTTCTTTCTTTCTTTTTTAATGAATGAGGCAATTTATTAACCCAGCATCCTTTGTTCTAATGCTTCTTGTTGGCAGCTGCCACCTGTCCGGCAATCCTGTCCAGATCTCTCTGTCCCTGAGGTGTTAGCTTGCGGCCCCCATCCTGGTCCTTTCCACCATTTTCAGTCCCTCCAGGGCTTGGAGCCACACTCTTGGCCACACTCTTGGAACCTCTGCTGAAGTGGCTGGGCCTGACACCGTTTCTCTGCCGTCCTCCATAGATCTTGGTCATGGAGCCAACCCCAGCACCACCACGCAGGTACAGGTGCCGTGCTGTAGAGGCAGCTCGCGTGTAGAACCAGTTATCATCATAGGGGGCAAGCTCTTTATGTTTGGCCAGCTTGACTGTGTCCACCCATTCGGGGACTTTCAGATTCCTGGACTTTTTGAGGAAGGCTGCCAGAGCTCTGACGAACTCCTGCTGGTTAACGTCTTTTACAGTAACTCCAGGCATCGTGCGGCCTCCGCGCTGCTAGCCAGGGGAAAGGGCTGAACTGCTCTTTCAAGACAATCCAGAGGCCGGGCGATGGTGGCGCACGCCTTTAATCCCAGCACTCGGGAGGCAGAGGCAGGCGGATCTCTGTGAGTTCGAGACAATCCGAAATGCCTTAAGATGGTACACCTGCTGTCTCCCGAGGATGGAGAAAAACTTGCAGGTGGCACACAGTCTTTTCTTGTAAATTTTGACAACCTGTGCACAGCCCAGTTGTCAAGTTGTTTAGAGGTCATTCCTTTTCTGGTATTGACCTTGTGTCTCATCAAAAAGGCAAAGGATTATCTCTTCACTTGCATAATATTCATACATGACACTTTTAACAAGAGTGTCATAGTGAGGTACGAAGTCGAGTCTTTCTTTTGTTGCTGATTTCTTTTTTCCCGAGGCAGAGTTTCCCTGTGTAGCTTTGGAACCTGTCCTGGCACTCGCTCTGTAGACCAGGCTGGCCTCGAACTCACAGAGATCCACCTGCCTATGCCTCCCGTGCTCTAGGATTAAAGGTTTGCGCCGCCACCACCTGGCTGTTGTTATTAGTGATTGTCAACTGACTGTAGCAAGTATAGAGTGATTCATCAAAGTTATCACAGGTAATCTTTCCTGCTCGTAGTTGTAATAACAAACTTTTCTTCAGATGAAATGGCAATTGTCTGATCCACAGAAGCGCAGAACCCCCGCATAGCCTGCGCTCTCTGAGGCCTGTAGTGCGCGCTACCGGAGCTCCGACAGCTTCCTGCGCCGGTCCAACAAGTACACCGTCTTACAGCCCCCGACACCAGCTGGATCGCTGGCGTCGATGCCATCTGGGGGTGGGGAGAGAGAACACCCCATGGCCCTCCCTCGGGTGCGCTTCGCCGCGACTCTGCTTTGAAAACCTTAAATAATTCATTATCTTATTTCTCTGATATCTACCTATGTTCAAAATGTCCCAGAAGTTTTTGTTTTAAGAACTTTTTTTCCCCCCTGTGTTCTGAACAGCCTGCAGCTGCTCTGAGCACGAGACCCTGATGGCAGGGGAGTGGGTTCTGATGAGTCTGCAGCTGAAAGATCCCGAGAGCTGGGCTGTGGCCAGAGCCCAATATAAGCTTCCCCTGAGCACAATAAAGTTGGCATTCTTGTATCAAGGGTAACCCGTGTCCCCGTGTGCGTGTGTTTTTAAGTCCCCAGCTTAGTTCCAGGCTCGTGTACCGTCCCGTAGTGCAGGCGCTACGTTCCATCCTACATCTTGGCATTAAGCCAAGAGTCGTCCTTAAGAACGTGAGCCATCCTACTTCCTGGTACAAGGTTTACGTTTTAGAATCAGTACCATGGAGTCCAGTCTGTGCGCCCCCTCTCACTCCAAGACAGGGTTTCTCTGTGTAGCCCTGGCTGTCATCTGCTACTGCCTCCTGAGTGCTCGGATTAAAGGCGTGCACCACCACCACGTGGCAGGATTAGTCTTTTTTTTTTTTTTTTTTTTTTGAGATAGGGTTTCTCTGTATAGCTTTGGAGCCTGTCCGTTTTGTAGACCAGGCTGGCCTCAAATTCACAGAGATCCACCTCAGAACTCATTATAGATGGCTGTGAGCCACCATGTGGTTGCTGGGAATTGAACTCAGGACCTCTGGAAGAGCAGCCAGTGCTCTTAACCAATGAGCCATCTCTCCAGCCCCAGGATTAGCCTTTTAAAGTCAGTTTCCTAACCCTTTATCTGATATCTATCCTGTTCTTTAGAACAATGCAAATACCATAATTTTCTTTGAAAACCTTAAATAATTCATTATCTTATTTCTCTGATATCTACCTATGTTCAAAATGTCCCAACAGAGCCGGGCGATGGTGGCGCACACCTTTAATCCCAGCACTCGGGAGGCAGAGGTAGGCGGATCTCTGTGAGTTCGAGACCAGCC